TTCCGAGTATATCGATCCGCACACTGAACACTATATATATTTTGTAAGTTATTTATATTTTCGATGAGAAAAAATAAAGGTAATTTTTAAATCAACGACAACTGCTGCGGATTGTATGGAGTGATGCTGTCAGCTTCCAGTTGCGGATGCTATAAAGGAAGAAAGCAAATTCCATTTTACTGCTGAAGGATATATAAATTATGTATTTTGTCACAGTTCGTTTTCCTCTTCGTCTTGTATGAGTATATATATATACAAAAGTATGAAAAAACTGCGCTGCACAATTGACACGCTTCGACTTACGCTATGTTTTTTCTTCTACTTCTTCATGGCATGTAAAATAAAGAGAAAGATTGTAAACTTCTATATAAAAAAAAGGGGGAATTGACGCAAATGTGGAACCTAAAATTATACATATACATATACATGTATATGAAAGAGAGGACAAGAGACAGTGGAATGTGTACATTGCACAATACTGAGCTCAAGAAAAGCTAGAATGATACTAACGAGTATAATGATTAGAGATCATTTTCGTTCTCCGTATCTTTTTCCGAACGTCATTGCTGATTAACAGCAATTAGATCGTTCGTCGAGAAAAATCAGAGATTCGTAAATCACCAAGTCGCTTCTTAATACAAAGTAAACAACAAGCACAAAATTTTTTTATATCGGGTCGATCAGAGTAATTGAACGCATTCGCTGCACGCACGAGGTAAGTCATATAATAAGTATAATACGAAATGTATCTTTTTTTTTTTTTTAAAAACAAAATTGCAAAAAATTTTAAGTAACTTTTGGTTATACAATTTGTATGTGTATAACTAAAATAAAAATTTCGAAATTATTAACTTACCTCTTGTATACTTTTGTGCACCGAATCCTTCAATTGCGTGACCATGAATAAAAGTCACATCGATATTTTCCAATGATGCAAACGATAATTGTCGATAATATCCATTTTTAATGAGATATTCATTAAATAAATAACTATTTTAACGACGTCATTGTTTGCTGTCAGATCATTGAAAGATATTGCGACATATGCGACATTTATCTCTCCGGTACTGCGGCGGACCCATCCGTATGCAGTATATGAACGGGCGCTCGCACATACACGCTAATTAATATGGCTAATTATGTAACTCATGGCCGCTTCTTTAAAATATATATATCGACGATCGTTCGAGTCTTTATTGCGCGTTGTGGACACTTAAGCTAGGCGTAAGCTAAATTACTTTGTACGTTGTTCTCGTTTGTGTGGTACGGACCTCGTCAAACGGACGTTTCCGCATTAGTATCCTTCCTGCAACAGAGCGACAATTGCGATTATTCCTCGTCCGATCGAGCGATCGCGAGAGATACGGAGAAGATTTAGCGATAGAGACAATCGTTGCGATTTACAGGCGTTCGCCATAAATGCTTACCTCCTCGCTGATGGTTCGATAGCCGTCGATAGGGCAAGCACGGATCACAGAAAAGATACAGTTATGTTAGAATGTTCCAACGCCACCTTTCGCGTGCAAACAGCAAGAGGAAATGAGAAACCAAAGAAACCAGAATGAATTAATTAAACAACGAGCGTTACGAGAAAAATTGCGCTAGAAAATAAATCGCTATAACTTAATTATAGATCGCTGCCGATCCTTTCTATATATACGTTGGATGTGACGTATTTGTACTGTCTTTTTGTAAATTATTTTATATCTCGGTGAGGAAAGTAGAAACTTCTCGGATATAATCGTTTATATAAAGGTTTCTATTTTTATTCAAACGTGACAACGTGTGTTGTTTTATTTATTGTACGACTTTTTTAACGTACTTAATTATTGATATTTATCATGATATATATATAACGTCATTTTTTATTAATTATGTAGACTATAAATAGCCATATAGAGAGATTATTTAAAATCACATTTACTTCATTTTAAAATACTCCAATTTGTTGAAACAGGAAGTTTTTTTTTCGGTACATTGCACGAGATACTTATATAACACTCTTCACACTATTATTTTCTTAAAAGGAGATACTATTTCTCTATGCAAAAAAGCTATATATATGAGAAGTTAATTTTAAATACTTTTCATATTCAATTCATGCATCAAATCCATCGTACATAAAAGCTTGATCTAAACCTTCTACCGTTTACTTTAAAAAAGGTTCCCATCCGATATACCCGATTGATAAGTGAGTCTCCCAAAAACAAGCATGATATACTCACTCGGTCTCGGTGATGGTCTGCTCGTATTGCTGCTGCTGCTGCTGTTGCCTGAGTGCCGCCAGCTCATTGCTGTGTTGCAGATCGTGGGTCAACGAGCTCGACAGTATCCTCCCGCTCATTGGCAGGATATACTCGGGCGTGTCTTCCAGCACCGTCGGGGTGCCCATCTTGCCCCGTTTCAGACTACCGTATCTCTCGGAGCCGCTGAGATTGTCATGCTGCGAGCCATGCAGGCTCTGACCTCGCTTCAGGCTGCCGTAGCGCTGCTCAGAACCACTCAGGTTCTCGTGATTCGAGTTCTGTGAATGATGGCTCATGCTGGACGCCAAGATACGCGACGATATGGACAGCATGTACGGTGTGGGTGACACCGTGTGATCTTCCTCAGCGGTGTATGGGAATAGATATTTCTCACCCAGATGGTGCACCTTCTCCTCACCCTCTGAATAATTTTCGTCCGGCTGATTCTTCTGCGGCGAGCTCATCTCTGGATACGGCAGCGGATTCGGACTCGAAGTCTTATTCGAGGCTATCTCGTTGTCCGACATAGTGCCGCCGGACCATTGGCTACCACGCACGTCCATCACTGCAAAGAACATTAATGTTTATCAATTCTCTTTTGTAAAAAGTTATATAGAGCTCTTCATAATAATGCATAACTATTATATATATATATATATATCAGGCGATTGTATAAGTTCGTGCCCGATTTAAATATAAACTTCAATAGATTATATTTTAGAGATAACAGCAAATGCACCTTTTCGTTCTCCATTTTTAATGATTTCTCTTATGCACAAATGGACTTATCTGAACAATGTCTGACGCTAAATTGACATAAGACAACGTCATCTATTCGGTGTAAGCAACAATTACCACACGAAAACAATAGAACTCCGCCATGCAGTAACTTAATGCCATCTATGAGAATCGGGCACGAACTTATGCAATCATCCAATATATTATAATATAAACGAATTAATCTCACCATTTGATGATAAATATGCTTCCGGCAGTTGGGAACTCCATCGAGGGGCGTAGATAGGTTTGATGTTGGGGAACAGC